TTCGTTTACCTCCTTCTCTCCATCTCCCTCTCTCCCTCTCTCCCACTCCCTCTCTCCCACTCCCTCCCTCCCTCCATTCTCCTTTTCGTTTTCCTCCTTCTTTCTCCCTCTCCTTCTCTCCCTCCCTCCCTCCTTTCCTCCTCCCTTCCCTTCATTCTTCTTTTCGTTTACCTCCTTCTCTCCATCTCCCTCTCTCCCTCTCTCCCACTCCCTCTCTCCCACTCCCTCCCTCCCTCCATTCTCCTTTTCGTTTTCCTCCTTCTTTCTCCCTCTCCTTCTCTCCCTCCCTCCTTCCTTTCCTCCTCCCTTCCCTTCATTCTTCTTTTCGTTTACCTCCTTCTCTCCAATTCCCTCTCCCTCTCTCCCACTCCCTCCCTCCATTCTCCTTTTCGTTTTTCTCTTTCTGTCTCCCTCTCCTTCTCTCCCTCCCTCCCTTCTTTCCTTCCTCCTCCCTTCCCTCCCTTCTCCTTTTCGTTTTCCTCCTTCTGTCTCCCTCTCCTTCTCTCCCTCCCTCCCTTCTTTCCTTCCTCCTCCCTTCCCTCCCTTCTCCATTTCGTTTACCTCCTTCTGTCTCCCTCCCTTCCTCCCTTCATTCTCCTTTTCGTTTTCCTCCTTATATCTCCATCTCCCTCTCTTCCTTCCTTCCTCCCTCCCTCCTTCCCTTCCTTCGCCTTTGCCTTTTCTTCCTACTCTTTCTCCTCCTCCTTCCCCTTCTCCCCTCCCTATCTTCCTCCCTTGCTTCTCCTCCTCCTCCTCCTCTCCTCCTTCACCTTCACCTCCCTGCCTCTTTCTCCTCTTTCCTCCCTTCCTCCTCTCTTCCCCCTTCCAGCATCTGCCTTCATCACAGACCGCTTTTCTCTCCTCAGCCCCCAGAGCAGCCAGAGGCGAAACCCGAACCCAGCCCTGTGGTAGATTTCGAGAGGACCCCCAGCGGCCGCATCCGGCGCACCTCCGCCCAGGTGGCCGTCTTCCACCTGCAGGAAATAGCGGAGGACGAGCTGGCCAAGGACTGGACCAAGCGGCGGATGAAGGACGATCTGGTCCCCGAAACGAAGCAAGTGAGCGACTGGGACCCCCCCCAAGAGCTTCTCAAAGATGGCGGAGGGTGCAGGAGGGGTCGGAGAATTGGGGTGTTTGGGGGGGAAGGCTTGGCTTGAGGATTGTGGCACGCTTTTTATTTATCAGTTAGATTTATATCCCGCCTTTCTCCGAGAGCCCAAGATGGCTTCCATGGGGATTTCTCCTCATCGATCCTCACAACCACCCTGTAAGGTGGGCCGAGAGAGAAATATTGACCAAAGGGGCCCATCTGATGGGTGATTTTTTCCCCCAGAGGGATGGTTTTGAACTCGACTCTCTCTGGTCCAGATCTTGCATCTTAGCTACGCGGCTTCTGTTCAGGGCCGCGTGTTCAGTACCCGGTCCTGTTATTTATTGATTTGCTTTTTACAAATAATGATGAGCAGATCCAACACACCTTCCTCCTATTGTTTTCCCCACCACAACAAGCCTGTGAGGTGGGTTGGACGGTGAGAGAGTGACTGGCCCAAGGTCATTCAGCTGGCTTTCATGGTTAAGGCGGGACTTGAACTCACTGTCTCCTGCTGATTGGCCCAAGACAGTCACGCAGCTGGCTCTCATGCTTAAGGCGGGACTTGAACTCACCGTCTCCTGCTGATTGGCCCAAGATAGTCACGCAGCTGGCTTTCATGCTTAAGGCAGGACTAGAACTCACTGTCTCCTGCTAATTGGCCCAAAATCACCCAGCTGGTTTGGTTCCTAAGGCGGAACTAGAATTCACTGTCTCCTGGTGATTGGCCCAAGACCGGCACCCACCCGGCTTTCATGCCTAAGGTGGGACTAGAACTCACCATCTCCTGGTGATTGGCCCAAAGTCACCAGCTGGCTTTCATGCCTAAGATGAGACTTGAACTCAGAATCTCCCACTTTCTAGCCTGGCCACTTAACCACTAGACCAAACTTTCTCCAACTAATCAAATTTATGCAATAAAATCAGGTGCAAATCAGGTTTCCTGAGATGACAGTTGCATTAAACCAAGGGTAGGCAACCTTGGCTCTTTTATGACTGGTGGACTTCAACTCCCAGAATTCCTGAGCCAGGCTGGCTCAGCATGGAAACCTCTCCTTTTCCCCTCAGCGTGGCTGGCTCAGGAATTCTGGGAGTTGAAGTCCACCAGTCATAAAAGAGCCAAGGTTGCCTACCTCTGGCCTAGGCCTGGGCCGCTTTATGACTCGTGGACTTCAACTCCCCGAATTCCTGAGCCAGCCTGGCTCAGCATGGAAACCTCTCCTTTTCCCCTCAGCGTGGCTGGCTCAGGAATTCTGGGAGTTGAAGTCCACCAGTCATAAAAGAGCCAAGGTCGCCTACCCCTGCATTAAGTTCAGAGTTAGCAGCGATTCCCCCAAACCCATGCAGGACAGATAAGATGGTGCTGCAATTTCTTTGAGGAACATCTCCTTTTATCAAAAGTTGAAGCAAACACCTGGTCCTCGACTTACGACCAGAATTAGGACCTGAATTTCCGTTGCTAAGCAAGTCAGTTAATGAAGCGAGTCGTGCACAGTTTTAGGACTTCTTTTTCGAGGGTGGCTAAGCAAATCACTAAGTGATTTGTTAAGTGAATCATGTAGTTGTTAAATAAAGTCAGCTAACCCCCCCTCCCCTTGACAGAAGCCATCTGGTAAGGTTGCAAATAATAGTAATAGTAATCATCATCATCATCGCCAGTCAATTTGAATGTTCAGTTGACTGAGGTTCACGTCTAATGAATAATAATAATAATAATAATAATAATAATAATAATAGTAATAATAGTAATAGTAATAAAGTTGGAAGGGATCTTGGAGGTCATCTAGTCATCTAGTCCAACCCCCTGCTCAGGCAGGAAACCCTATACCATTTCAGACAAACGGCTGTCCAGTCTCTTCTTAAAAAACCTCCAGTGTTGGAGCATTCACCGCTTCTGGAGGCAGGTGGTTCTACTGGTTAATTGTTCTCACTGTCAGGAAGTTTCTCCTTAGTTCTAGGTTGCGTCTCTCCCTGATTAGTTTCCATCCGTTGCTTCTTGTCCTGCCTTCAGGTGCTTTGGAGAATAGCTTGACTCCCTCTTCTTTGGGGCAGCCCCTGAGATATTGGAAGACTGCTATCATGTCCCCCCTCGTCCTTCTCTTCGTTAAACTAGACATCCCCAATTCCAGCAACCGTTCCTTATATTGTTTTAGCCTCCAGTCCCCTGATCATCTTTGTGGCTCTTCTCTGCCCTCTTTCCAGAGTCTCAATGGTCACGTGATCCTGGGATGCAGCAACCGCCATAAATGCATGCTGGTTGCCAAGCGCCCAAATTTTGATCAGGTGATCCCGTCATAAGTCCGAGGATCAGTCATAAGTCACGTTTTAACTGCTGTTGCTCCTCTGCCCTCCTCTCCTTGTTTACACCTTAGCTTTCTGTTATTCATTTTTGCTTGCATTGATTTCGATTCACGTTTTTAAAACATTCCCTAAAACATTCCATAATAATAATAATAATAATAATAATAATTATTATTATTATTATTATTATTATTATTATTATTATTATTATTATTATTATTATTATTATTATTATTATTATTATTATTATTTTGGGAAAAGGCATGTAAATGCTCTTTACCTGTTGAGCCTCTTGGAGGAGGGGGGAGAGAGGAGGGTAAGAAATTGGGGAGCCCTTAGCCACCTGTGAATAGCATTCTGACTGTTGTGACTGTTGAATGTTGGCAGCTGAATTACACTCGGCCTGGACTTCCCAAGTTGAACCCGAGTCTTCTGGAGGCCTGGAAGAATGAAGTCAAAGAAAAAGGACACATCAATTGCCCAAATGACGTGAGTGCGTTGCGTTTGACGTCCAGAAGTCCCTCGATTTGTCTTGGATGGGATTTGAGGAAGATTGGAGTCACAAACCGAGGTCTGACTATATACAGTAGTGGCCAAAATTGTGGAAACCTTTTGGGAAAAGTGTATTTTTGAGGTTGGATGGCTAATAACACCCTTTTGGAGGGGAGTAGTACCATAAAATTATATATCAATGGAATGATAATTTAATCGAGAATGTAATGCAACAAAGTTTGTTCAATTATCTGTACTGTATTCTATGAAAAGTTATAGCCAAATAACCAGAAAAAGGAAGCACAACTTGCTTAAGTTGATCTCAGGTAGCATTCCTTCATCTGATTGTAGCCAATGAGCGTGAGTGTTTAGAGAGCCAATCAGGTGTCATCTTGTTTTGGCCATGAGCCAATCAGATCACAGTAGGATTCGGTTATTGATGTCCTGTATTGAAGCCGAGAGGAGGATATTTGTCAGTGTGTTATGTGATGGCTATCAAGTTGGTTGGGTTTCTTTGTGTTCTTTCATCTAGTGAGCTTGTAAAACATCATAAAATTAAAGTAATGGTGCAAAGAGTTGACTGGTCGCCCAGAAAGCGATGCAAAATAGTATTATTCAGTGAACAAGGCTACAGTGATAAAGAAATTAGAAGAAAAATGGGTGGAAATTTAACCAAAGGTGGCATTTCTACTGTACACTTTTCCCAAAAGGTTTCCACAATTTTGGCTACTACTGTAGATCAGGGGTCTTCAAACGTCGCCCTTTTATGACTTGTGGACTTCAACTCCCCATAAAAGGGGCACGTTTGAAGATCCCTGATTATAGGTAGTCCTGGACTACAACTGAGCCCCCAGATTGCTGTTGCTAAGCGAGACTGTGTTGTTAAGTGAGTTTTGTCTCATTTTTATGACTTTTCTTGCCACAAGGGTTAAGCGAACCCCTTGCAGATGTTAAGTTAGGAACATGATTATTAAGTGAATCCAGCTTCTCCCTTGACTTTGCTTGTCAGGTCACAAAAAGGGATCACGGGTCCCCGGGACATGGCGACCATCATAAATATAAAACAGTGGCCAAGCATCTGGATTTTGCAGCATTCTGAAACAGTCATAAGTAATGAAAAATGGCTAGAAGTCGCTTTTTTTTTCAGTGTTGTTGAAACGTCAAACAGTCACTGAAGTAATGGTGTACGTTGGGGATGATTTGTATCTAGCTTGAAAACCAAGATCAGAGAGCACCAAGGACCCCACAGTCCTCCTCCTCCTCCTCTCCCCACTCCCCTCTAGCACTGATGATGTTACCTAGTTTGGGTAATGAAACATCTGCAAGAAAACAACCAAGCTCAGAGAGCACCCAGGATCCCACAGTGGTCATGCTCCTCCTTCTCCTCCTCCTCCCCCTCCTTCTCCTCCTTCTCCTTCCCCTCCTCCCCCCTCCCCCCTCCTCCTCTTCCTCTATTCGGCAAATCCCACTCTCTTCTAGCACTGATGATGTTACCTAGTTGAGTAATGAAAGAAAACAACCAAGCTCAGAGAGCACCAACGACCCCAGTCATCCTCCTCATTCTCCTTCTCCTCCTCCTCCTCCTCCTCCTCCTCCTCCTCCTCATTCACTCCTCCTCATTCTCCTCCTCCTCCTCATTCTCCTCCTCCTCCTCATTTACTCCTCCTCCTAATTCACTACTCCTCCTCATTCTCCTCCTCCTCCTCATTCACTCCTCCTCCTAATGCACTCCTCCTCCTCCTCCTCCCCGCAAACCTCACTCCCTTCTAGCATTGATGATATTAACCTATTTGTTAATGAAACATCTGCAGGAAAACCACCAAGCTCAGAGGGACCAAGGGACCCGTCATTTCAACCCCCAGCTACACATATTCTCCTTCCCAACCTTTGGGAAGGTGGGCTGCAGCTTCTAGGAGCGATGCCTAGGGTGGGGGGAGGCAGGTTCCCCAGTTCCTCACTCAGCCTCTCTGTTTTCCCTTCCAGTGCTGTGCAGCCATTTATTGCAGCGTGTCCGGCCTAAAAGCCCACCTGGCCAACTGCAACAAGGTAATGGACCCTCTCTCTCTCTCTCTCTCTCTCTCTCTCTCTCTCTCTCTCTCTCTCNCTCTCTCTCCTCCCTCTCCCTCTCCCCCTCTCTCTCCCCCTCCCTCCCTCCCTCCCTCTCTCTCTCTCTCTCTCTCTCTCGTCGATTTCTTTGTTGGGGTGCAATGGTGGGCCTGCCAAATCCGCAGCAGACTGTAGGCCAGGGATGGGCAAAGATGGCACAACATTTGGGGTGACGCCTGTGTTCACCAAGGCCACGCGGCAGCTTTTCTTAAAAAGATGTCCGGTTCTCACATGATTTGCAGAGGCTGCACTTAGAATGGGGTGTCTCTCATGCGGCCTCCAGACCTGCAGAAGCCACCTGAGAGGATTGTGGCCTCAGGAGCCTCCAAAAATAGAATAGAACAGAACAGAACAGGCACGCTGGCTGAGGAATTCTGGGAGTTGAAGTCCACAAGTCATAAAAGGGCCAGGTTTGAAGACCCCTGCCCTACACCATTTCAGAAAAAATGGCGGTCCAATCTCTTCTTTAAAATCTCCAGTGATGGAGGACCCACAACTTCTGGAGGCAAAGCGGTTCCACTGACTTTAATTGTTCTGACTATCAGGAAATTTCTCCTCAGTTCTACGTTGGTTCTGCCGAAATTAACCTGGCTGGTCTTTGATTTACAGGGAGGCCATTTGGTGGGCAAATATCGTTGTCTTCTGTGTCAGAAGGAGTTTAGCTCAGAAAGTGGAGTCAAATACCACATCACCAAGACACACTCAGAGGTAAGTAGCTACTTTTTGGGAGTTGCTGCTAAGTTACCTCTAGCGGTTAAAGAACCAGGCTAGAAAGCGTGAGACGGTGAGTTCTGGTCCTGCATTAGGCAGGAAAGGCAGCTGGGTGACTTTAGGCCAATCACCAGGAGACGGTGAGTTCTAGTCCTGCCTTAGTCATGAAATCTGGCTGAGTGACTTTGGGCCAATCACCAGGAGATGATGCGGCTGGGTGACTGGTCCAACCACCAGGAGACGGTGAGTTCTAGTCCCGCCTCAGGCATGAATGGCAGCTGGGTGACTTTAGGCCAATCACCAGGAGACGGTGAGTTCTAGTCCCGCCTTAGTCATGAGAGCCGGCTGGGTGACTTGTCCAATCACCAGGAGACGGTGAGTTCTAGCCCCGCCTTAGTCATGAAAGCCAGCTGGGTGATTGGTCCAATCACCAGGAGACTGAGTTCTAGTCCCGCCTCAGGCATGAATGGCAGCTGGGTGACTTTAGGCCAATCACCAGGAGAAGATGAGTTCTAGTCCCGCCTTAGTCATGAGAGCCGTCTGGGTGACTTGTCCACTCACCAGGAGATGGTGAGTTCTAGTCCCGCCTCAGGCATGAATGGCAGCTGGGTGACTGGTCCAATCACCAGGAGACTGTGAGTTCTAGTCCCGCCTCAGGCATGAATGGCAGCTGGGTGACTTTGGGCCAATCACCCAGAGACGGTGAGTTTTAGTCCCACCTTAGTTATAAAAGCCGGCTGAATGACTTTGGACCAATCACCAGGAGACGGTGAGTTCCAGTCCCGCCTCAGGCATGAAAGGCAGCTGGGTGACTTTGGGCCAATCACCAGGAGACGTGAGTTCTAGTCTCGCCTTAGGCAGGAAAGGCAGCTGGGTGACTTTGGGCCAATCACCTGGAGACGGTGAGTTCTAGTCCCACCTTAGGCATGAAAGGCGGCTGGGTGATTTTGAGCCAGTCCCTCCCTCTCAGCCCAGCCCTCATATGGTTGTTGTGGGATGAAAACAGGAGGGTTGTGAGGAAAACCTCACAGGATTTTAAGTATAATTTTAATTGGAACACAGCTTCGAATATTTGGTTTTTAATTTGGTTTTAGAGGGGTTTTTATTTTTATTGATATGTGTATCTGTTTTAATATGCTGTGCACCGCCCTGAGTCCTGCGGGAGAAGGGCGGTATAGAAATTAAATAAATAAATAAATAAATAAATAAATATTGTGAGAAAAACAGAAAGAGGAAGGTGTTTTGGATACCTTCAGTGCCTTGAATTATTTGTAGAGATAATAAAAGGCGAGATACCAATAAGCAAATAAAATAAGAATTAAAAGCTGTCATCCAAAGGGAAACCCTCTACAGCAAAAGGAAACCCTTTTTCGGTTTGGGCGTAACTTGGAACGGTCGCTAAGCGGCCGGTTGTAAATCGAGGACTACCTGTCCAGTTCTCCACTTACGACCCCAATTGAGCCCAAAATTTATGTTGCTAAGCGAAACACTTGCTTAGTGAGTTTTGCCCCATATTATGACTTTTCTTTGCCACAGTTGTTAACCGAATCACTTCAGTCGCTAAGTTAGCGACACGGTTGTTAAATGAATCTGGCTTCCCCTGTTGACTTTGCTTGTCAGACGGTCACAAAAGGGGATCAGGTGACCCCGGGGGACACGGCAATGCCGTCATAAATACGAGACAGTTGCCAAGCGGCTGAATTTCGGTCACGTGACCACAGGGGAGGCTGCGACGGTCACAAGTATGAAAAACGGTCCTTTTTTTCCACGCCGCCGTAATGTTAAACGGTCACTGAATGAGCTGTCGTAAGTCTACCTCAGGGGTAGTCAACCTTGGCTCTTTTATGACTCGTGGACTTCAGCTCCCAGAATTCTGGGAATTGAAGTCCACGAGTCATAAAAGAGCCAAGGTTGACCTGTATCGTGCAAGCACCATTTAAACCTGCTTTGTGTGAACGCAGGCGACCTGTGCCAATCCATCTTTCTTTGCCTCCCTCCCTCCCTTCCCATCCCCGCAACCCAGAACTGGTTCCACACCTCGGCGGATTCTTCCAAGAAAAAGAAGAGCAAAGAACAGGGCTCCCCCGGCCACGAAGAACAAAAGACTAGCCCCGACGGGAAGAAACGAGGCCGGAAGCCGAAGGAAAGGCATCCCGAATTTTTCCCTAAAGACACGGAGAGCCTCCTGGAAAACACTAACCACAAGAAAGCCGCCGCCTCGTGGCCGGTGGCAAACTGCATCCTGGACGAGAAAGATAGAGGTAACAAACCCTTCTTCCACGCCAAGAAAACGGGGGCGAATAAAATGGCAGAAAAATAAGCCGAAGGGGGGGGGGTCAAGAAAATAAATAAACCACAGAAAAACCTCTTTAATAAAGATTAGTTTACAGGGTGATGGGTGACCAGGATGCTCCTTTGTTGGCTGAGCCCCTCCCGTTCTGCTCCTCTCTTTTTTTAAAAAGAAAAAAGAAAAAAAAAGTGACAAACCACTTTAAGGCCCGGACTACAAGCGCTGGGTTTTTATTTTCGGAGACGGAACTCGGACTTCCGGCATGATTCTTCCATCCGTACCCCGCCTGGGTTGTATATAAGGCCAGCCCCCCCGTGGGCAGAACACAGTCCACGGATCGGTTGGCTGCCACGGCGAAGCGGAGGGGTCTTCGAAAGAGACCCTGCAGGAGCAAGAAAAGAGCGAAGTGCAATAGGGAAACCAAGTTAAGTTTTATTTTTATTTTTCTTCTCTGTTTTTTGTGGATCCCTTTTCCAGTAGCGGTGGTGTGTTAGAAAAACAGAGCGTGTTCAGGAGTTTCCCGTGAACGGAAAACAAATATTGTGGTTGTGGTTGCAAACCCAGCTTACCTTTTTTTTATATATAATTTTGATAGGAAATGCATTTTAAAGAGAAAAAAAAGTATCTGAGATTGTTTTGACAATGAACAGTTGGGGGGAGGGGTTGGGTTTATGATGACGCTGACGAAATACCCTGATTTTGAATTTTATTATTATTATTATTTTTATGGTCCAACCAGAAATAAATCAAGAGGAGGCGGGTGCCCCCGCCTGCAAATTTGGATAACATTTGGAAAAGTTTAGGGGAAACTAGTATTGGAGAAAGGAACTTTTGGCAAGGAGATGTTTGGGGAAGATTTCTTAAAGAGGGAGGTTTAATTGGGGAAAATATAGGACCTTTCCTTGAAATTCTTTTTTTTTTTTTTTTTTTTAGTTCTGCAGGTATTTGTGGAAAAAAAAAAAGTCCTTAAAATATCCCCAGAAGAACGATCTGGCTAAATCGTTCTAACGAATGAAGGAATTAATCTGTCATTTTATTTTCCCATAATGCAATTTGAAGACCTCTGAACTTCAACTCCCAGAATTCGCTAGCCTGCCATGCTGGCTGAGGAATTCTGGGAGTTGTAGCCCACAGGTCTTAAGGTCGCCAAATTTGGACACACAAACCCACACCCCCCGCCATAGTGCTTGGAAACGCAGTGGTGTGGGATTGTGAACTTTGTTATAAGTTGCTGAGATGTATATTTACATGGATGCAATGTCCTTGATCCTCGCCGTCAATTAATGCCCAGCACTTAATTCAAAGCCAGGGATGGGTGAATTTACGCATTCGGCCTTTTGTTTATATTTTTCATTTGTGTAGATTTGTCTGGTTCCTGAGATTCCCCCCCCCCTTCGAGTTTGCACTGAAAACGGTATGCACTTGAGTGCACGTTTCTCTCCGAGCATAAACTTTTTGCATTTTCCCTAACATCCCGTGTCGTTCCGGTTATCGCAAGTGTGTCTCTGTACATTATTTCAGGAATGCAGATGTTAATTGTGTAGTCTTCTCCCTTAAAAACAACAGCAACAACAGTGAACTGCTTTGCAAAATTGGAGAACGTGTGGCTTTGAAATGAGAATAAAATTTCAGTCCTCGTGTTACTTCAAATACCCCCAATTAGGAAGAGAACATTTAAATGCCCCCATCTTTAATCTGATCAATATACTGGTGTTTGTATATCTGACTTCACAATGTAGACATCGGAATTTGTTTACAAAAAGCTGGCTGGCATAATACCCCAAAGAATTCGCTTTCTGCTTTTTTCCCTTAAAGCATTAAATTTAGTTCACTCACTGAGACATTTATCTGCAAGTCACCAAGTGGCCGACGGTCCTATATTTGAGCTGCGTAAAATTAAGGAATTTTTCTCCTGGCAAAACCACAGCTAGACTGTAAAATACGGGTAATCCTCGGTTAACCACAGTCCAGGGGGTCCTCGGCTTAACGACCACAATTGAGCCCGAAATTTCTCTCGTTAAGTCACATGACTTGGGACCCCAGCAAGAGTCATAAGTATGAATCAGTTGCCGAACGTCTGGATTTTGATCACGTGACCATGGGGATGCTACACGGGTCATTAAGTGTGAAAGACCGCTTGTCAGAAGGTCGCAAAAGCTGATCCCAGGACACCTCAACTGTCATAAATATGAACCAAATTTTGATCACGTGACCGGGAAGGGGGGGGAGAAACACTTCAATGATCCTTAAGTGTGAAAAACGGACATAAGCCACTTTTTTCAGTGCCTTTGCAACTTTGAACAGTCCTTAAATGAAGTGTTGTAAGTTGAGGTCTTCCTGTAATTGTTGGCTCAGCAACAATTATGAAGTGCAAGCGCACTGACTTACCACAACTGTTTCAGTTGCCGTCGTTAAACGAATCCCACGCACTCAACAGCGTGCCGCAGTTACCTGATCGCAATTGCCAACTTCCTGCTAACTTCCCCATTGATTTTGCAAGATGCTGCAGTGGCAGAATTACGATCCGGCTGCCCAATGCTTGACACAACATTCACAAGACCGTAGAGACCTCTGTTCAACGCTGTTGTAACTTCGGACAGTCATTGAACAGGCGGTTGTTAACCGAGGACTTACCCAAGCATTCCAATTGGGACAAAACAAATCACTTCCTTTTTGGACAATTGGCCCCAGGAAACCATCCTTTTCCAATAATCTTGTTGGATTTTATCTAGTTTTCAAAATTCCTTTCCACCCCCCCAACCCTGTATCTCGCCCAGAGACCCTCCGTACCGGGCAGGATCTAAATCAATCAATCTATCCCAGCCAACGCTGGGATCTTTGGATCATGTAAAAATAAATACATGAGCAAATAAAAAACGTGGGAGAAAACCAGAAATGTTTGTCCCTGCTTCACAAATCTTTGCAACACCATTCCTGTCCCCCGTGGGGCCCTTAACCTTTCTATCGTGTGAACCTCCACGGGTAGGGCATGGTGGCATCACAATAATGTTGGTGCAAGCTGTACACGTTTTAGGTGGCAAAGCTATGGAGGGCTTGGATTCGGTCTTCGAGAAGGGTGTTACGGTCAGTCAGAACGCAAATATAGCGTTAGTCAGTAGGGGGACTGGAGGCTAAAACATATGAAGAACGGTTGCAGGGATTGGGTAGGTCCAGTTTAATGAAAAGGAGGACGAGGGGTGACATGATAGCAGTCTTCCAATATCCGATGGGCTGCCCCAAAGAAGAGGGGGTGGGCAACCTATTCTCCGAAGCACTTGAAGGCGGGACAAGAAGTAGCAATAGCAATAGCACTTAGACTTATATACCGCTTCGCGGTGCTTTACAGCCCTCTCTAAGCGGTTTACAGAGTCGGCCTCTTGCCCCCCAACAATCTTGAGTCCTCAATTTTACCGGCCTCGGAAGGATGGAAGGCTGAGTCAACCTTCAGCCGGTGAGGATCGAACGGCCAAACTGCAGGAAAGCTGGCCGTCAGTAAAAGTAGCCTGCGCCACCAGGGCTCATGATGGATGGAAACTCATCAAGGAGAGAAGCAACCTAGAACGAAGGAAAAATTTCCTGACAGAATAATTAACTAGTGGAAGGACTTGCCTCCAGAACGTATGGGTGCTCCCAACACGAGGTGTTTAAGAGACTGGACAGTCCATTGTCTGACATGGTATAGGGTCTCCTGCTTGAGCAGGTGGTTGGACTAGAAGACCTCCAGGGTCCATCTAAATCGGTGGTTCTCAACCTTTTTAATGCCGCGACCCCAACCGGTCAGAAGTCGAGGACTAAACCGGTCATAAGTCAAGGACTAAACCAGTCGTAAGTCGAGGACTAAATCGGTCATAAGTCAAGGACTACCCAACCGGTCGTAAGTCGAGGACTTTCCCTGCCCGGGAGCGCCACGCATGCGTGTTTCTGCCCCCTGCGCCGGCTGAGGCGTAGCTGGCAAGCGGCAGAGACGGAGTAGGCCGACCACCAGCGGGCCCAGCCCAAGGGAAGTAAGGCACCCACCGGAAAAGGGGGGGGAAATGGCGGACAAAAAAAATGGCGGACAAAAAAAATGGCGGACAGCCTTGCTTGGCGACCCCCATGAAATGGTCGATCGACCCCAAATGGGGTCCCGACCCACAGGTTGAGAACCACTGATCTAAATGATTGTCTTTCAGCCTTTATTTCCATCCCTAAGAGGTGGGTAGTTCTTATTTTGGGCATAAAGCAAGACACAACCGTATCTGCTAGTTGGTCTCATTCAAGAGGCAGACTAACAGAATTGGAAGGGACCTTGGAGGTCTTCTAGTCCAACCCCCTGCTCAAACAGGAGACCCTAGACCATTTCAGACAAGTGATTGTCCAGTCTCTTCTTAAAAACCTCCAGTGTTGGAGCACCCACAAGTTCTGGAGGTAAGTCCTTCCAGTCCTTCCTCTGTTATTCTGTTATTTTGTCTCCTGTGCTTTAAAGCAGTTGCGTCTTTTCCTTGGTTAGGGCAGCAACTAACTTAGGAAAAGAAGCAGCTGCTTTAAAGCTGATTTAAAGTGTTGGAACTGATGCTACAGTTTATGCTCCCATCCCATGAGCCCTAAAGCACTTTTTTTTCTTTTTAAATCCAAGCACAGTTACCTATCACAACCAGGGCCAACTTCTGGGTAGCTCTTGGCAAGAGGTTGTTGCATGGCTTGACGTCTTCTTCCAAAAGTTATTGAAGGAGTAGACGTCCCAGTCTGTCCACCGTCATTCGGAGTCCGGCAGCAAAACCCGTTTGATAATAAAATAATTCAATAAATCTATTGCTCTTCAGATGGGGATGGCCAATGCACGCTGGCTAGGAATCCTGAAAGTTGTCCCGTCCCCCCCCCCCAAAATATATTTGTTAGATGGACAGCTCTATACATTGATTAAATAAATACATAACATTGTAAGGAGGTTGGGCTGGGAGAAGTGAAGGGGTTGCAAGAATAAACATTTTTTTGGGCCAAGAATGAGTCTTGAATCTCTCTCCTTCGATCTCCTGCCTTCTTAGGGCTGG